AGGAAGGAAAAAGAGAAAAAATATAAAGAAAAGAATCAAGTCGAAATCTTAGAAATGAAAAATAAAATAAATGAGCAATTCAGTAGATGAGTTTAACAGTAGATCAGACACAGCAGAGATGAGGATTAGCAACTGAAAGATAGATTGGTAGAAAACATACATATTACGGGATCAAAAATACAAAAACAGTGCAAGAGATACATAGGAAATTGTGAAAAGATCTAATCCACGTGTAATTGAAGTTCAAGAAAACAGGAGGAGGATAACAGGGTAGAAGAAATGTCTGAAGAAATAGTCACTGATAAATCTCCAAACTCATGAAAGACCATGAGCTACAAATTCAAGAAACTCCGCAGATTCCAAATATGATAAATACAACAACAGCCACACTTAGACAAATCATAAAAAAAACTACAGGAGGCCAAAAACCAAAAGAAACTGTTAAAAGCTTCCAGGGGAAGAGAAAAGACATTCAGTAGTTCCCCCACCTGTGGTTTCACTTTTCTGGGTTTCAGTTACCTGCAGGCAACCACAGCTGAAAATATTACGATGTTGAGAGAGATACCACATTCATGTAACTTTTACTACAATCTATTGTGATAATTGTTCTATTTTATTATTAATTATTGTTGTTTACTTTATCATAGGCATGTAAGTATAGGGAAAAAAACAGTATATACAGGAGATTTGGTACTATCCATGGTTTTGGGCATCCACTGAGGGTCTTGAAATATATCCCTTATGGATAAGGGAGAACTACTGAATTCCCTTCAAAGAAAAAAAAAGACCAAAAAAAGACTGAAAATTAACTTTCAAAAGAAATGATAGAAGCGGGAAAACAATGAAGTCTTCGGGCATCCACTGAGGGTCTTGAAATATATCCCTTATGGATAAGGGGGAACTACTGAATTCCCTTCAAAGAAAAAAAAAAGACCAAAAAAAAAAGACTGAAAATTAACTTTCAAAAGAAATGATAGAAGCGGGAAAACAATGAAGTCTTAAAAGTGCTCAAAGTGGTAACCTAGAATTCTACCCCAAACAAAATATCTCTGAAAAATGAAAATGCAACACAGGATTTTTCTGGCTAAAATATTTAAAATTAGTCTCCAGTAGACTTGCATCCAAAGGAGAAACAAAAGAGTTTTTAAGAAGGTAAACCAATGCAGATATAAGGATAGCATTAAAGGAAGGAATGAAGAGTACTACAATAAACAAATGTATAGGAAACAAGGGGAGCTGCAACAGGCAAGGAGGCCACAGTTTTGAGAAACAATTGAGAAACTGCACTGGCTTACGTGGGTAAGTAGATGATGCTACTGTCACCACGGCCTGTGGCCTCAGGTTAACATGGGAAAGAAAGAGCCCTCTTGCAGAGTCTTTTGAAAAACAACTTTATTAAAGTGTAACTTACATACACACAATTTAAATATACAGGTTGACGACTTCTGAACATATGTAAATCCATATGACCACCACCCATCATTATATACAATGATCTCATCACCCTCACAGGGCGACCTCTTGCCCTTTTGTTTTCAATCTCCTCCAACGCTCTGCTATAGGAGCATTTTAGAGAATCTTGAGAAATGTCTTCGACTTCATAAGTCCCAATCGATTTCAGAAGAAGAAAATTTTCCTGAAAATTTTGTAGACTAAGGATGTCTTTACGACACAATAGGTCAGAGTATTTTAAAATTCCTCTCAGTTCAAATCTTTGCCTTCTAAGTACTACTCTACAATTTGTAGTAAATAGAAACCTTCCAAAAAATTTTATGAAAGAAGTTATTGATTGTTCCCAACAGGGATATTATGATTATCATTGATCCTTACGTGTTGGCTCACTTTGTATGGGGAAAATGCTTTTTGCCTTCCCTGATATTCTTTTTTCCTCTTTACAGGGGCATCCCCTCATCTTTTCAAGTCTACATTCACCCTCCCATGGAAGGAGTAAATAGGCTAATAGTGAATTCTGATGGGAAAACTAGGCTGCCATAACAAAGTACCGTAAACTGGGTGGCTTCAACAACAGAAATTTTCTCTTAGTTCTGGAGGCTAGACGTCTAAGATCAAGTGTTGGCAGGGGTGGTTCCTTCTGAGGGCTGTGAGAGAAAATCTCTTCCGTTCCACCAGCTTTTGGTGGTTTGCTAGCAATCTCTAGCATTCCAGAGCATGTAGAAGCATCATCCAGATCTCTGTCTTTATCTTCACATGGCATTCTACTTGTGTGTTGTCTGTATCCAAAATTCCCCTTTTAATAAAGATGCAGTCATGCTGGATTAGGGGCCCAAGGTACAAATACACCTGCAATGAACCTGTTCCCAAATAAAGTCACATTCTGAGATATTGGGGATTAAGAGTTAAATACATACATTTTGAAGGGTGATGCAATTCACCCCAAAACAGCATCCCAGCCATTTTTCCTCCTTTTTCTTGGGAGCACCCCTGCCCTCAGTGTTCTTGACTGCTCTTGGCTCTACTGTGAGCTGATGGGTAAAGGCCTAGTCTCACTGGGGAGAACTGAGTGGCTGTGCAATGACAGTACTGCCAGTGACAGAGAAGTAAGTAGTGTCAAGTTCTGGGATTTGGAACCTGAAAACATATGTGTCTACGAATATAAATCACATCCTGTAATATCAGCTGTTCCTTTTCTATAGGTTGTATTTTGCTCTCGCATATTCCTTCTCTTTTTGTCATTCCTCAGTGGATTCAGACTTTGGGAGGGGAAAATGTGTGTAAACACATATTCTCTCCAAAAGAGACGTAACAGTGTCAGATGCAACCATACCCCCTACATCTGGGTGACTGAATTACTTGAATCCCTTGGAGTTGAAATACAAAGAACAAATCTGTGCATGGATTTATCATAGTCAACTGGGGAGTATTTAAGCCTCTAGACAAAAGGGACTTAGGTAAGGATGGGGTCAATATGTGACGTATCTTCTTTTGAGAGCAGGAAAGAAAAGGAGAGAGGTCTACCACTTAGATGGATGTGCAGCGAGGGCCACCCCAAGTCTGTTGGCATACTGGGCTTCATCAAGGGGTGGCATTTATTGAGAAATTAAACAAAGGAGAAGCAACAGTTTTGGGAGAAATGTGATAAATTCGGTCAGGGCACACTGAGGTTGATAGTCTTGAGGAAAAAGCCAGGAAAGAAGTTCATCTGTCCTCCAAGGAAGATTGTATTTGGAGATAGGGATACCGTCACCACGCAGGTGGCAGCTGACCTCATGGAGAAGATGAGGTCAGCCAAGGGGGTCATGGGGAGGCAGGGAGAAGGGCAGAGGCTAAGGATGAACCTGGTGGAAAGTGAAGTCTGGAGAGCAAGATGAAGCGGAGGACTACCCGAAACACCCAACGAAAACCTTCAACCACCAGAGTGCAATGTCCCCACCTGGTGCTGAGATGGCCCTTTCCCAGACTGGAGTCGCGGAGGACTACCCGAAACACCCAACGAAAACCTTCAACCACCAGAGTGCAATGTCCCCACCCGGCGCTGAGATGGCCCTTTCCCAGACTGTAGTTATACCTCTGAGTGCCCTCTCTTTACAAAGGATCACGTCTGTGCTGACTTTAACCCCAGAAT